GTTTTTGGAGGATTTAATTTTTTTTTTTTGGGTCCGGTCGTGGGGCCTGAACTCTGGGCCTGGGCGCTGTCTCTCAGCTCTTCAGCTCAAGGCTAGCGCTTTACCACTTGAGCCACAGCGCCACTTCTGGCTTTTTTCTTTTTCTTATGTGGTGCTGGGAATCGAACCCAAGGCCTCAGGCATGCAAGGCAAGCGCTCTACCACTGAGCCACCTTCCCAGCCCTGAGGATTTAATTTTTTGAGTTCTAAGTATATTGTAGATATGAGGCCCTTGTCTGTTGTATAGCTAGTGAATATCCTCTCCCAGTCTGTCGGCTTTCTATTGATCTGACTAGCTGTGTCTTTTGCCATGCAGAAGCTCTGCAGTTTAATGCAATCCCTTTTGCCCAGCTTTTCTTTGATTTGTTGTGTTTCTGGATATTTATTTATTTTATCCCTGTGCCAAGGAGCCCTAGTGTTTCCCCTATTCCTTCCTGTAATATTTTCAGGGTATCTGCTCTTACCTTGAGGTCTTTGATTTATTTGGAGTTGATTCTGGTGCAGCATGGTATGTAAGTGATACAGTTTTCTTGATGTCTATATTTGCAAATATTCCTAGTAATAAAATGTATCTGGACAACTAAAATGAATCATCAGTATTTTTTTCAGTCATTCCATAGACATGTGCAAAGCAGCAAAGACGCTGAGTAATAATAATACATCCTGTATTATTATTATCATCATTATTATTATTTGTCAGCTATGGGGCTTGAACTGGGGACCTGAACCCTGTCCCTGACCTTTTTTGCTCAAGGATAGTGCTCTACCACTTTGATTTCTGTTTGTTTGTGTGTTTTTTTTTGTTGGTCGTGGGGCTTGAACTCTGGGCCTGAGAGCTGTCCTTCAGCTCTTCAGCTCAAGGCTAGTGCTATACCACTTGAGCTACAACGCCCCTTACCACTTTGATTTCTGGTGGGTAATTAGACATAAACATCTCAGGGACTTTCCTGCCCAGTCTGGCTTTGAACTGTGATCCTTAGCTCTCAGCCTCCAGAATAGTTAGGACCACAGGCATGAGACACCTGTGCCAGGCTACATTGTCTATTCTTGACTCAGCTCTAGGAACATAGGAGGAAGGTGGTGAAGCAGCACAATGCAGAGACAGGAGCTCTGCTCTAGGACCAGTTGGAAGGTTTCAGTGCCAAATGCAGCACCTGCTAGTGGGTTGGCTCTGGCACTTAACACTTCTGAATTTTTGTTTTGTTCTTCTGTAAAACAAAGAAAATAGAATCAAGTATGATGAGTTTTAAATCAGATTTTTATTATCTTTAAGCAATTATACAAAGGAGTTGCCATTTAACAAACCAGCGTATAAGTAGAATGCATCTTGACCAATGTTACCTCTTCAATCATTCTCCCTCATCACCCCCAAGCCAATTAATTTAACAGGATATATATTGATTATTATGACTACATTCTTCTCCACTTCCTCACTTCATTTGTTTATCCCTCTTCCTTGAATCATTCCCCCTCACTGTTCAAGTATGTTTCCTTGGATTCATTTTGTTAGACTGTGAGTTTTTCTAAGAAATGACAATGTTGGAATTCTCATCTGCAAATATCATAGTTCACATATAGTTATGTGCACTTGGGTGCAACCTGATATGTGTTTACTTGTACATTTATAAATTAGGTCTAGCTTTCACATGTGCAAGAAAGCATGAGTCCTTTGCCTCTCTGTGCCTGATTTACTTCAATTAATATGATTTTTTGATGAATGGATCCAGAAAATATGGTACATATACACAATGGAAGGATTGTGGGAAGGATGACTTTTTAAAAAAATGCTCAGGATTGTAATCTAAAATCCATGTGAGATACATGAATACACATGTATGTGGATACTTGCACATGTAAATGTGGATATCTATCCAGCTCACACATGTACACACACACACACACATACACACTTTCTCTAGGAGCAAAACTTGATTGTTACGTATCTACTGTGAATAATAAGAAACTTTGATAAATTGAGTAGCGTCAGTTAAAGATCACCATCAAGTTCCAGGGGTCTCTCTTTTACCTCCTCCATACTCAATTCACCAGAAGTAAACAGGGCACAACTCTCAAACCTCTGTAGAGGATTGTTTTCAATGAAATGTAAGTGCATCCAAGGTTATGATATATATATATATATATATATATATATATATATGAAGCAGAATTTAATCTGAGGGCTTCTCAACAAACCTGACTTGTCTTTATTTTAAATTATTAGCTTAATTTTTAACATTTTTATGTTAAACTTGCATGATAGTTTTAAGAATGACATCTGGACAAGCTGATTTTGTGTGTGTGTGTGTGTGTGTGTGTGTGTGTAAAGTGGGATAATTTGATGGTCTTATGAGCTATAGTCATTAAGATTGGATATTCATTATGCATGGCAAAATATAATTTTGCCCAATTTGGGTTAAAAATCAGTAAAAGCTTGGGGCCTTTCAATATAGTTAAGGGTTTGTGAGTAAAAATAAGAATGTTATTTAAGTAATAATTAAACAGTGGCATATTATTAATTATTAATATTACTATTTTAAATGAGGTTCCAATTTTGTGAAGGACTTTGGGAAATCATTATAAGTGAAAATTCAGCTCAGTGAGAAATAATGACGTACAGGTTTGTGCTTCACAAGAGCATCTCTGCTTAAGATGCTAGAATACTTTCTAATCCTCAAAAGCTGAACAGGAAAGATGCAGGCCTGCACATGTCCACCAGAAATGTGCACAAGAATAACGATGCTCTACCCACTAGGAATGGGCTTGTGTAGCAGAATGCTCTATGCTGGGGTTCTGGACATGAGGGGGAGGGGCCTAATCTTCTTTGGTGCATTAATGTGCTTTCATAGCACAAGCATGAGAATTAATACCGACTGAAGTGCTCTTGAAGAAAGACATTTATCTCCTTATTTCTTCTGGGATGGATTGCTCAGAGCTGAAGGAACACCAGGCCAGCACCAAATCTCCTGCTGCCCTAAATAGTTTTTTCAATCTCCTTTTCAATAACCCAAAGTCAAGGCTGTCTCACTGCTAGACTAGTGCTTCTCCAGGAATCTTCTCATAATGTGACAGGACCGAGCCATCTCTAATACAAATCAACATTATTATTTTCAAAGTAAGCACTTTAAAGGGTTGCTTGGAACAAGAAAAGACCAATTTTTTTGAGCTGCATGCTATTTGGCAGTTGGTGTAAGATTATCCTGTGAATTGCATCACACTGAATAATACAGTTTATTCCGGTGCATTTTAAGTGGAACTGGATAAATAATGTTTGATACTTGATTAATGTTAATAAGCAAGATGCTACAATTAGTATGGTTGTGTTTATAAATGATCACACTCTTCTTTTCTTTTTTACATTCTTTTCTTTTAATCTCTAGCAGATAGTGAGAACAAAATCCATAATGTAAAACATATTAACTCTGACTCAGAAATTCATTTACATAGTGCAAATTTATGGCAAACTAAAATATATATCTAAATGGTTAAAAAATTCATCCTGCCAAAAATGATGCCAAATTCTTCCTCTCTTAATACTTCTATTTGATGCCCCCCTCTCTCTGTTGCTTCTTAGGAATTTGTAATGAATAAAAAAGAAATATATGATATAGCTTCTACTCATCAGTTATATCCATACTCCAAGGAAACCTTACATTTCGTTTCTCTCAGTTGTTTTTAATTTTTTGCTTTTCTATAAAAATGGAATTAGAACCTACTATTTTTGGTTCTTTATATATATTTACTATAAATATATATAATCATCCAATTAATATAATTATCACATTAATATACTACCTTATTTTTTGCACTGGTAGGGAGGTTTGAACTCAGTGTCTCACACACACTCTAACTTGATTTTTCCACTCAAAGCTGGCAGGCACTCTGCCACTTGAGCCATATGTCCCTTCCAGTTTTTTGCTGGTTAATTGGAGATCAGAGTCTCATGGACTTTTCTTTTTTTTTAAGTTTTTTATTGTGAAAATTCTGTACAGAGGGGTTACAGTTACATGAGCAAAGTAATGAGTATATTTCTTATCAAGCATTGTTGCCTCCTCCTTTTTTTTCTCCTACCATCCCTTCCCTCCCACCTCCACAACCATCCCCATCACCCTAAATTGTAAAGTTCAGTTTTCAGCATAGTGTCTTGTATATCTCATTGTTACAATGGGTCAACCTGTATCCCTATTTAAACATTTTGTTTTTTTTCCCTTCCCCTCCCCAAATTATACTGACATCAAATACAGTGAAAACAGGGGTTATACCGTGGGGGAGGAACATACAAAGCAACAAAAAAAATCACATAGTACATTATAACTACATTAGAAACACTAGCAAGAAAGAAAAATTCACTTGTGTCCCTATCTTGGAGTTCATTTCGCTTAAATTCATCCTATCTGGTCATATGTACATAGCTTTTGACCGTTTGTATTTGTCCCACACATACTAGTTAACTCTCATGGACTTTTCTGCCTAGGCTGGCTTTGAATCATGGTCTTCAGATCTGTCTCTTGAGTGACTAAGATTACAGGCATGAGCCACCAGCACCCTGCCCAATATATTTCTTAAACATGGTTTTCTTCTATTGGATTCTAATTCTGAGTATGTGAGTTGATTAATTCTGTAGTTACTCGAAGTGATTGAACAATCAATAAAAGAGAAATTTCACACCTAACCTTCAATATTGTAAAAATACTTTACTGTGAAATGCTCCTGAAACAGTGTATTTTGACAAGGCCTGCTTCCACTTAAGTGTGTGTAAAGTCAGCAGGCAAGTTTCTCAACAATCTAATGATCAAGTATTTCACCTGTCATCTCACATCAAACCATAATTTTTCCCATGGTAGTATTCAACTTACCTCACTCTAGCCACTATTAATGTATTTCTATAGCTTGTAAAATATCTAGTTATCACTCTGTCTATTCTCCCTTGCTCAGGCTAATGATTTATTCTTATTTTTCTCTAGGATATAGACCCACAGCTAACTGGATTTAATTTATAAGAGGGAAATCTACAGTCAATGGCCACTCTCCCCACACTGCAACTATGGGAAACAGAATGGTCAATAGGATATGGTCTGATAAAGAGTGATGATTGAAGATGCTGCTTGTATACATGGGGAATCAATGAGAGCTACTTGCTGCATGAAGAGAATTCTGAGCTTTTCTTGACAAGTGCACCTTTGAGAAATCAGAGGCTGATTCTACCCATCTATGGTCTTTCTCAAGTGGATATAAACACATTGGCTTCACTGAAACCAGACAACTAGACAACCGATGTGGCATCATGGCGCTGCTCAGATGCACGTGGCCAAATTACGTTTGGAGAGCCATGATGGCAGGCTTGGTACACAGGGGATTGGGGGCTTCCTTGACTCTCTGTCTTCTGGGATGTTGGCTTCAGACTGCGCATGTACTGTCACAAAAATTGGATGACGTGGATCCACTGGTGACAACCAATTTTGGAAAGCTCAGAGGAATTAAGAAAGAACTCAATAATGAAATTTTGGGGCCTGTTATTCAGTTTCTTGGAGTTCCATATGCAGCCCCACCAACAGGAGAACATCGTTTTCAACCTCCGGAACCGCCCTCTCCCTGGTCAGATATCAGGAATGCCACTCAGTTTGCTCCTGTGTGTCCTCAGAATATCATCGATGGCAGGTTGCCGGAAGTCATGCTCCCTGTATGGTTTACCAATAACCTGGATGTGGTTTCATCTTATGTACAGGACCAGAGTGAAGACTGCCTCTACTTAAACATCTATGTCCCGACTGAGGATGGTGAGTTTACTGCAGACAAAACAGGAAGATCTATTTATTTTTGTCTATCCTGAGTTCTAACAATATTAATTCATGTGTACTGGTAGTGTGCATGGCTTTTCCTGTTGGCATGTAGACATATTTTACATGCGTGCATGCTGCTTTTTTGGTTTATGTGTATTGGTGTACCTGTTCTTTTCTTTTCTTTTCCCCCTCTTTCTTTCCTGTATCTACTCATTTTCTTTCCTCCACAGCACGTATATGGAGGTAGAAATGGGCTCCTAGTTTCCATTTCCTACCAAATGACTTCTGAGAAGATGCATCAACATTTCCTCATTGCATGTACAGGCTCAACGAATTGGGGATCTTTCGCACTCAGTCAATGCAGGAGTGTAATAAGTTAGATAGTGGTGGTTGCATGTTCCGGCGGTCTGTAATGGAGCGCCATGTTATTTTCTAGTCTTCTATTCATTTTTCAGTAAAAAGAATATCCAAGGAATGTGCCAGAAAACCCGGCAAGAAAATATGTAGAAAAGGAGGTATGTATAAAAGTGGAAAAAAAATTGGGTGCAAAAGCTTGCAAAGGAAGAACAATTTATTCCCCTTAAGGATGATTGGCTGGTGCTGCAAAGTGAATGTCTAGGTGCTGTGTGGACCTTTGATCAGGTTTGTCAAGGAATAGGAAGATGGGTAAGGATGGATTAAGCTATTTGGCCTTGGCCAAACTCACCTGTGATGCCTCGTATTCTAGTGTTCCAGGGCTGATAATATCTGTAAGAACTGAATTTCTACTTGGAGTTGGCTTACACAGAACAAGATAGGCTGTTAAATTGCCTGCAGTGAACCTAAACAGGCTGCCTTACCATCTGGTTAGTTTTGATATCCGATAGCTTTCTGTAGAGATATACATTTGTGTTCTTCAAATTGATCAGTTTAGTCCCAAGTTCATTTGTTTATTCTTAGCTCCTTTTGAAAACCTTATGAACTTTCTTATCATCAGGATAAATTTGCCATAGTTATTAGGCAATTACCATGATAAGATAACAATGTTTTTTTTTTTATTCTGAGAGCCTTTTTTCATTTGCAGCCACCCTTACAGAAGAGAATAAGCTTTTCATATCTTACACCAAATATTTTCAGTCTTAAAATCAGTCTAACCTTAAAAAAATACTTATGTTAAACAATTTAAAACAGAAGGAAGAAAGTGATTCAGAGTTACAATTAAATAACCCTTTAAATCATCCTCTAAGCAGATTGAGCAAAGACAGCTGCAAGCTTGTATCTGAATGAAGCTTGTCCACACTCCATTTTACTCCCGTAAATCACTCATAGGAGAGAATAGTTTCCTATGGCAGTAAATCATCTAAGTGTTACTTTGACCTTATTCATAACTTTGTGGAATTTCCAATCTTCACACAGAAGTCATATTAGTATTCTAGCAGTGCATGTTCTATCTCTCTATGCACTTTCAATCTCCTGGCTGGACCAAGTCAGATTTTATTATAGCATTCTGGTGAAGCAGGGAGTGTCTGACTGATCTGTTTTCTGTGGGGGATTGAATTATATAGAAGACACTTCATTGAAAAAAAATCTCAACTGTGGATCAAAGGATTTGCATTCAATTGACTTTTATTTTTATCCTGGTCTAATTTCTTTGGCAATATTAGTAGAACAGAATTCTCTGTTCATTAAAAAAATTAATGTCATAATTATTGGTAAAGCACAATATACTATGAAGACAGATATGAAGGCAATGGGGGTGTTTTAAACAACAACAAAACAATAAAGAATAATTTCTTGGTTTCCCCAAATGAGAATAACTGCAGTAATTTACATGCTTTCAACTAATGTACAATAATACTGCAGTGGTTATTAATATGCAGCTTAACAAGCATATGTAATTAGATAAGTGACTTTCTCCTCCTATCTTAAAGCTGTTGATTCACAAAGTAATAGATGCAATACTGTTGAAGAATGCATAATTAGAACATATGACATAAAAATACATGCGATCATGAAAAAGATAAGATAGTAAATTAGAAACTGACCTTTATTCCAGAACAATTTCAGAGAAAAAAGAGATTTGTTAGAAATTCATTTTTTATTATCCTTTGGAATGTTGGTTCCATTTGCTTCATAAGAGAGTTGGCAAAAAGATATGTAGGCTGTGCTGTTTATCTTGGCAAACTTTGCATTAATTTATAATTATACTGGGGAAGATATCTATAGATACCTACTGAACCATGTACATTGGATATTGTTGAACTCTTGTGCTATTTATTATATGTTTCTAGTTAAGCTTCATTAAAATATTATTTTGCTAACTCTTTCCTTGCTTTACCATGATCTGTTTGGCCACTTCAAAAGGTTATAATCTTTGTTCAAGAAAGTGTCCATTATTTCATATTTATTTATGTGTATGCTAAAATATACTTCATGTGGAGTGAGAATTATTCAGTGGGATTCCAATGTTTATCAATGGCAGCTCGGAAACCCTATGCTTAGTGGTGTACCTTTTGTTTCATGCTAATAGATTTGTGGCTTGTCTGTATTTACCTTTTCTCAGGAGTATGCAAGCATTTGTAAAGCAGACGAACCCTTTTTCCTGTACCAAGTATTCTATAGTCTGTGCACACTATATTCATTCAGAACTATTTCCTAATTGCCAATTACAAGCCATGTAGCATTCAAGGGTATCAGTAATGAACAAGATCAAGAGCACTCTTCCCCGTAGAATTTATATTCTAGTAACTTTACAAAGAACAACACAGTTCCTGCATTGTAGGCTGTACAAAATGAAGAAAATATTCATTTTCAAATAGATGCCTTTTTATAATTTTTAAATAGATCATTTACAATATTTTCCTGTGCATTTGAAGAAGAGAAATGCATTTTTTATCGATAGGCTGCCTCTCATTTTGAAACAAGTCCCAATGGCACATTTTAATCTATCCTTTTATATTTCCCATGATAGTTTTAGCCATATGTTAATTACCCTCTAGATATTTCTTCAGGGTTTTATTCTTGTAAAACTGAAAAGCGAATGCTTAAAATGAGATGAGTAGCCACACTTGGACAAATATACAGATAATGTAATAGAAAAAAGACTTTGGATATGAAGGACATTTCTTTTTAAATATTAGGTGTTTTGCATATGCTATTCATTTCATTACCGCATTTACAAGAGGAGTTTATTACTATGTATTTTATAATAAAGTCTGAGAAATTAGTTATTTTGTCCCAGATTTTACTATTAGTAAGGACAGAATCAGCTATGCCTTTGCTTTGTTTTCTATTTAGATAGTAGATCTTTGTTCAATAGATTGTCTCATAGCAGAATCAGAGATTTCTTTGTCTTTTTCCTCTTTCTTTCCCTTTCCTGTCTTGCTTTCTCCTCCTCCTTTCATCTATCTTCCTTCTTTCTCCTCCCTTCCTTCTTTCTCATTTCCCTTGATCTTCTCTTTCTCCCTTCCCTCCTCTCCTTCTCTTCCCTTCCTTTTTTCCTCCCTAACTTCTTTTTTCTTTCTTCATATTTTTATCCTGAGTTCCTCTTATTCTACCAGTTGAAAAAAATTTTCAGAGTGAATTAGGTCAAGCCAATATTAGCAACTTATTTCTAGAAACAGGCTTAGCGCCCATTTTGGTGAATACTTTTAATAGTGCATGGGTTTTCTATCTTCCCAGAGTAAGATCACAGCACATCCTTCCCTAGCCTCTCTCAAGGAGCAGCTTTAACTTCTTTGTTTCCCTTTGTTTCTTTAGATTACTCTCTTGTGAGACTTGCTAACAAACAGTAAGGGTCAAATATTAGGCAGTCAACATAAGGAGGAACCAGGGACCCAAAAAATCCACAAACAAATTGATTGGCTCCTGATACTCTAGAGTTGCACAGCCTGTGTTTCTTCAGCACTTTCACCATTATTTGCATAGTTTTTCCAAGATGAATAAAAAATCAATTTTCATGTCTGTACTTATGAGACTTGCTAACCCAGTTTTTCATTTTTGTTGTACAGTTTGTATTGGGTAGCCATTTTTAGAGATGGCTATGGTAAAATTCCTTGTATCTTGAGCATGCGGCTCCTAACATTCCAAAGTATTTTACATGATATTATTTAAAACTCTTTACTTGAGGGTTTCTTGATTCATTCAAGAGCATCCGGGCAAATGTAGGTTTTGTTTGTTTGCTTAGCAGAGGGATGGTATTTTTTCAAGTTAAGTATGTATAATGACGACTCTTAATCACTGCTAATGTTTCCAAGGTTTTAAAAAGGGATTATTGTCCAGAATTTTTTTCATTCTAGCTCATATTCATCTAATTAATTTATTTATTTGACAAATATTTATTGATTGCTTACTCTGTAGTAATTATTGCTTTGGGTCCAAAGGATGTATTAGTGAACAAAACAGAAGGAAAACCTTTTGCCCTCTCGTATGTAGTTCATGTCCAAGTTTGTCAAGGCAGACTGTAAACAATCAAACAAGAAATAACTAACTTGTTATTGTGGATGAAGGGGAAAAGTAAACCACAGCTGGAAGACCAAAAGTGTGGATGTCAGAGTGAGGATAATTTCATGTTAGATGGTTATGATAATGTTTGCTTGAATAAAGACCTAGTGAGAGTGTAGTAAGGTGCGAGTCTATTTTGCAAACTTAAAGAACAATAATTAGAAATATATCTTGTGTGGGAAGGGGTGTGTGAGAGACAGGTAAGGAGATTTGATATTACTGGATTTCATTTTCAAGAATGTACTCTAATACCTTGATAAGAGAGTGTGAAAGAGCAGAGATAAATGGAGAAAGCAGACAGAACTAATATAATCCAGCAAGACCCAGGTGGTCCAAGAGTAGACCAGCTGAGTAATTGTCAAAGTGTGAGAGGCTTCACAAAGTTTGAAGATGAGTTTTTTTGATCAGTTTGTTTCAGGCTATAAAAGAATCCTCCATGTTTAATCTGAATACTTGGAAGAATAGCTTGGCCATCAATTAAAATGAGTAGTACAGAGTGGTCTAGAACAAATGGT